CTACACATGTTACATATCGCCGCGAACGTCGCAGTGAGAGCAATCATTTTAGGGCCATCAATCACTGATAACACTAAACTGATGAGCGGTAACAGCTTTTAAAGCGTCGCCTATGGCCAATTTTGGGTATTATCGTTTTTTGAGGTTTCACGCGCGCACGCAATTTTAAGGCTTGACATGTTTAGTGTCTTTTTACCCGACGTGACCCCATCTTTTATATTTTACCAAAAAATTGGGTAATAATAAATGTTTTATCATTTAATATAGGGGAAACTGTTTTTTTTAAAAAATTTCGGTAATTTTTCCTTAATATAGTAAAAAAATAAAACCCCCAGTGGTGAATAAATACCACCAAAAGAAAGCTCTATCTGTCCCCAAAAAAGGGTATAAAATTAATTTCAGTACAGCGCTGCATGACGGAATAAATGTCAGTCAAAGTACCGCAGGGCTGAATACTGAAAAATGGCCTGGACGGGAAGGGGGTTTAACACTGCGGATGTCAACTGGTTAACAAATTTGCTATAAAATAATCTATTCATTCTATATAGATAGATAGGTAGGTAGAGTGAGATTATTTATTTCTCTGCTTAAACTGCATGCTTTTAGGTTCATTACGACATATTTTACAAGCGTTCTGAAATTACAGTGCATATAAGGGCCTACTGTAAACTACCTAAGGACATTGCAGTCAGGTGCAGTGAAAATAATGAAAGAGAACTATGTGTTTGAATAGAAATGTAATAAAAGGTATATTTTATTTAACTATAATGGGACTGATGTACAGATGAGAATGTGTGTCACAATTTGTACAGATATTTTACACATGTTCGGATTCTTTTAGTTCATACATTTTGGCTCCTTTTTTCTCCATTTATGCCAGAATAACTGACTGCTCAGCTATTCACTACTATTGCAAATGACTTTACTCTAAAACATAAGTCCGTGAGCATACTGGAAGATTATGCTACAGACTGTCATTTATACTTCTATTTGAAAAAAATACTCGACACTGGAATGATACTACATGTCTGAATGTCTTTTTAGATTGAAACTAAGCCCACGTATACCCAGCACTATACAGTTTCCTGGTACTTATTACTCTCTTCCAAATGTGTCCACTCCGCTTGATCACTACTACATGCAAATTGGTAGCAATTAATTGTGGACAAGCTTAGTAGCATGATTTCACTAGAAAAAAATCACTCATGTACACCCAGCCTTAGAGTCACTTGAATTGGGGGAATTAGTAGACTAACGGCATTCGGCTCGGCTGTTCTGCTCGGTCCCTGAGAGGAACCGAGCAGAACAGAAAAACAGTGAAAAAAGTTTAAAAAGTAAATAGCAAACGATTGTGCGGAGCTAGCAGTGACAGCTGGCTCCGCCCAATAGTTTCCTATTGTCCGGCGGCTCTGCTACTGTAAAAAAAAAAACGAAAAACAAACAAACTCTCCCGGGCACTCTGGGAGCCTCCCGCTCCCGGCCGCCAAGGAGAGAAGCACTGATGTGTCCTTTTTTCTTTATTCTAACATGATCATCTGAAAAATGGCTTGGATGGGAAGGGGGTTTAACACCGCGGATGTCAACTGGTTAAGTGTGTTATTACAGTGTTGGGGTTTTTGAAGAATAGGCACATGTGTACCTACAAGCTATAAAGACCCTTTATAAGCTTATCTATTTATAGATATTACTGGAACAAGCCCCACTTAACTTTGCCCTTTTTATACCACCTTCACACCTCATAAAGACAACATCCATTATTTTTCTTGTTTAAAGCATTGCTTTACTGCTAAATACCTTCTTAGTTGTTTAACTCCAATTAAATGGTACATTACTAGAACCAATAAAGACATTAATTGTGGATACAAATATGCTAACAGAAAATCTCAGGAGCATACAATTAAATAATTAACCCTTGTGGAATTTGAGTTGAATACCCTGAGAAAACCGGAGTACTGAAGTGGTTTTAGTATGCAGGAATATATAGACTATAAATAAAATTCAGAATATTTACAAAATAGTATAAGGAAAATGTGTCCAATGCTTGCTAGGTGCTTCTGTACTCTAATTTTCAAGTCATCAGAAACAGCTGAAATGGTTTTCATATAGTACCATTATGGCCCATATGGGTGTAATAAAACAGGTACAATAACATTACTGTGCATAGGACAGCAATTAGTTCTAATTTACCTGTGCTTAGCAGCAGCAAAACTTTCATTACTGTATATTCCTCAAAGGTTAGCTGCAAACGGTTAAACTCCAAACTTATCTGCTGCATACTTTGGCAAAGCTCGTACATGGCAGACTGGCGCATCCTTTCTCTGCAAAGCAAAACAGATCATGTAAATAAACAAATCTACAGTGTAATTCACAAGGGATAATAAATATTAAATACAGACTTTTACATAAGTGTGTGCCTTGGATTCTACATTTTGGAGTCTTAAAACCTGGAACTCTGAATTTTGCCATAGTATTTTTACTGCTAAACCGCTTCAGTGTAGCTGTGTCTGTGTGTTTAGGGTGACTATCCTGCTGCAAGGTTAGCCTCTGCCCTATCCTCAGGTCTCTTCTCTATAAAACAGGTTTTCCTCAATAGATGACCTGTATTTAGCTCCATCCATCATGCCCTCAAGTCCTGACAAACTTTTCAAGAACTTGCCAATAAAATTCTCCACAACTCCTGCTACCACCACTATGCTTCACAGCGTGGATGGTGTTTTAATAGTGATGTGCAGTATTGCCTTCTAGTTGCATGCAGAAGTGGTCGTCCAATGATGTTTGAAGAAAAGCAGTTGCACTAAAGCTCATTTAGGGTTTTCACAGAAAAGGGAAAAATACTGATGAAATACAGGCTTTTCATGTTTGACAGTTTACATGCTTCCAATGACATGTGCCTCAACCAGTGATGCGTGTGTATGTATATATATATATATACATATATATATATATATATTAGTGCCACTACATAAAACCTTCTAGCATGTGACACTTTCGGTACAATAAAGAATAACACCACCTTTTCTTACAAATTGTTCTTTTAAGAGAACTATGTCCCAACCTTTTTTTGGCATAGTTCTCTTTAGGGTCACAGGAGGACAGAGCAGCGCCACAGCTGGGACGGATAATGACAATATTTCGGGATCCACCCCACTGCCAGATTGACAGCTGGTTTTGCTTCTCTAGAGGCAGAGACAGCTGTGCCTGTCCTGTCCGTTCCTCCTGTCAGGGCTGGAGGAATGGAGGGGGAAGGGGGGGAATCCCTGTGGGGAGCGGTGACTAACAGAGAAGATTGTGAACTGAGCAATTGCTCAGTTCACAATCTTCTCTGTCAGTCACCGCTCCCCACAGGGATTCCCCCCGCTTCCCTCTCCATTCCTCTAATTATGGGGTTGAGTTTATTTCACTCTCCCCATAATTCTCCATTAATGGATACAGGTCATAATAGAATTATAGCGACTGTCATTGCTAATGCCCTTTTAAGTCATCTGGCAACCATGCTGACCTTCTAGCTTCAATGCATTCCAATTCACTGAACTTGAGTGAACATGCACATCAGAAGGCTGACTACACCTAGTTTCTGCACGCTTGATTAGGATATGGCACATATAACAAAGAGACAACCAGGTAAGCAGCATTTTCAGAAGGAACTAAGTAATAGTAGCTCCTATATTTATCCATCAACAGAGTTCTTTTAACATAGGACAGTGGAATATTATTCACTAATTGTCTTATTCTGTGATTTTTCTCAACTGTCTAAAGTATCCAGTATGAAACATAAAATCTAGGTTGTTGCCATAGCAAAACTGCATACACAGCTGTTTGCAGGTATCTACTGTTGTCTATAAAACGTTTAATGTGTCTGCAGTTTCTCATGACCACATTTAAAACACAAACATTTCCAGGACATAATAGTTATTCCAATAGATTCAACAGGGCTTATACAAGCATAGGGAACCAGTGAAGAGTAACTCACTCACCACTTTACTGCTATGCCTAATATCTACTCTGCCAGAAAGGTGAGGGTAGACTTTAAATGGACAAAATAGATTTAAGGCACCCAGGAACAAGCACAAATGGTTGTACAATCCTAAAAATGTCAACACAGTTGTTGGAAAAACTGTGTTGGGGCACAATTAATAAGCATAAGCACCAACTATTTAGAAATAGTTGACTAAAGCAAATGAACGTCAATGTGATCCTTGAACCTATCTAGCTAATCTTACATTGATGTTACATTGATGTTCAATGTGGTCCTAGCTTGCCCTATGCATTGAACATTCCAATAATTATGCTACTGTGCCTTCTGTTCTGATAAACTGCATCAATGTCAACATTTCACCTTAAAATGAACAAAAATTTTATGTGACCAGTTCACTAAGCAATGAAATGTGCCAAGCAATGCAGCAGATCTTTAAAAAAAATATCGCTGCAAAAACAGCATGTACAGGTATTTATTACTGGAAATTTGTTCAGAGCTAGTGTATAAATGTGTGCATGCGGATAGACTTATCTGGTGTATGTTCAGGTGCAGAGATGTACATTCGATAGCATACCACACTTGTTAGTAAATTCACGCTATGCACATTGTCGCCTGGATGCATTGTGAACACAGTGAATGCCTTGAGGATATAATTTGGTCATCCATGCACAATTTGCTGCCATGCATGCATATCCTTTTAAAAAAAAGTCAGGTCCATTTACTGGATAGGTTGTAAAATTATTATAAGATTTCTACTGTTCTCTTCAGAAAAAGTAGAGGTAATCTGGCACTACTACTGTGCCATACACAGTCAAATGGGTGCAAAACCATTATAGAGTCTGCTCATTATTGTGAAATGATCCACGGCCCTTAACATGAAAATAAATGTACTGTTAAATACAGTTAATTAAGATGTAGTCCAACACTTAAGAACTATAAGTCCAAGCATGCCTATCTTCAGGTAATAGGTAAGTTGAACCTCTTTACTAGCTGGTGAGTCACAGGTTGTTGGTACCAGCCATAAGAACTGGAAATTAATGGCCAGGTGCAGAGAACCTCATTTTACAAAAGAGTTGATAATATGAGTTTCACTGGCAGGTCGACTGTACTGCAGACTATAAAACAAAGCTGTGTTTACTCTTGGTACGCTGCTCTCATATTTTTATTATGAAGAACTACAGTCATAAAATCTATATTGACCTGCTGAAAGTTCAGCGAATTAACTTGTCTGGTTTCTAAAGCAACAGAGGGCAAAAAAAAACCTTCTAACTGCCTGCAAGAGACAAACAGCTATCACCGCAAACCTCATGAAGACTCTTCATTTAAATAGAACTCTAATGAAAGAAACATTAAAGGAGTCACAATGTTTACTTCAGACTTACCAATCTGTACATGAAGTCTGGGTTTCTGTGCATGTTTAAAGTGGAAGTAAAGCTTAAAAAAACCCGCTGACTGACAGGATTTCTATGGCAGACGAGACTGTGTCAGTCTATTCTGCCATAAAAACGTATTTTCTACCATTCAGCAATCTTTTCTTTTTCTCCACTGAGCTTTTCATACGCAGCACAGTGTAGAGACCCAGCATGCCGAGACTAAATAAGTCCCATGCACATGTGTCATTGGGGCCCAGCCAATCAAGCAGCCGAAGACTCGTAAACCGGAAAAGGACGGAGCTGAAGATGGAAGCACCGGTGATGGAGGATCATAGCACTGGAGGGGATCAGTTTGGCAGGTTTGTCTGCCATAATGTGCTAATATGCAGTACACACAAGCACATTATGGTTCATAGCTCCACATTTCCTTTACTTCTGCTTTAAAGTTCATTTAAAGGATCCATTCTTTAGTGTATTACTGGAAATAAACTTCAGATGTTCTCTCTCATTATTGGATCTGCAGACTCATGGAGACCTAAGGGTAAGGATTTTATGTGGCCAAACAACAACGCCAGGCAGATAAAACAGGTGTTTGATGCAAATCATATTTACAATTCCAGATGGAAACACAGTGACATTCTACTAAGGACTTCTGATGAAATTTGCACAAAATAGCGTGTGAAAATATTATTTATAATAAGATTATAGTTATATCAGTTGGCACTAATGCTTGATTCCATTTCTATGTGGCATATTTGTCTGTAGGAACGCTGTATATTGTCACAATAACACTAGTCTTTTTCAACAGTCAGACGCAGCTTAGGGTCACTGCACCCACAACTGACACTTCTGCCACAGACAAAGACTGGCTAACTCAAGCACAGGATTTCCACATCTACCAGCAGCAAGATTCTCCCCTCCTCTGTCGCCAGAACACGCAGCCCCATCCCTTATGTCTCTCACTCATTCTTATTCAAGGAAAAGTATAATGTTTTTCTACAACATTTCTTTATGGATTATGTTGAGGGCTAAAAATACACTTTTACAGTACTTTTTAGTCAGGTAAATATGAAATCTTGCTTATAAAATTTTGTAGCAGGTGGTGAGTCTGAAATTCAAGGTGCTTCAGATAGCTGGTTTACCACTGTGCAGTGCATACAGACCTGAACCGCTGCATATCAACTTACACAGATCTGAATGACTCAAAGTAGGTACACCCCTCCACTTCTCTCAAGGCCCGTTTACACTATAGTGGTGACCTGTTTTTTCTGCACAAGAAAAAAGCTGGTCACCGCTAAGGCACATTGAAAACAATTGTTTTCTATGTGTCCTGTTCACACCACAACATGGGTGTGACTGGCGGTGCACTGCTCTGTTGAAAAATGCAGACATGCTGCACTGTTCCACAGCACAATGGAAGACAACGCAGGTCACTGCAGCACAGTCTGGACCTCAATAGAGTGTACACATTGTACACTACCAATAAAGTTTAAACAAGTTTAAACAAAAAGAGAAAGTAAACATTGACAACTCAGACAGTGTGCAATATGCTGCATTCTGCTGGAGCTGTCAGAATGCACTAGCCCACCCATTAAACACTCCATTTTAGCAGATGGGCTAGTGTGAATGGGCCCTTAGCAGAGACTGCTACCATCTAAATCCTTAGTCTGCAGCACCAGTTGACAATTTCAGAGCTGGTGTTGGGTGTTCTAATCAGAAATCCCAGCATACCCTGCAAACAGCACAACATGGAAGCAACCTGTGCTAAATGTTATTTTAAGCATCAGGATTTTATGCAGATAACTAAACATATACAGTATATGTATATAAAATGTCAAACAAATGAGAAATTCAACAGGGTAACTAAGAATCCCCTGTTACAATAGGAGGTCTGACATAGGTACTCAAATACTATTGACTAGAAAGCCAATAGACATAAGATCCCAGAGGACAAACCAACTCAAGGACA